TTGAAAGATGCCTTTTGACTTACTTTGAATGCAAGGAAAGACAGCTGACAATGAAAACCAAAGATGTGGCAACCCGTGGGGACCACTGAGAAATCACTTTCCAGTTCAGGGCGACAGCCTTGGCCAGACCGCAGGCCTCTTCCCTGATCCAGGCTCGCTGAACCTTCATGAACCCAGAAGTCTTAACAGAGGCTCTAGGAGGCTTTGGGGGAACTTGAACTTGGCTTTTCTGTTTTTCTCACTGCATTATAGCGCCTCTGGAAGCAATTCTCCCGCCCAGTGCTGCCTGACATGGTAACTTTGTTCATCAACTCTCAGTTGAACAGTTATATAAGTAGAGACCGCCAGTTTTTGAGTGGCTACCAGGGAGACAGGTGTCTGATTGTGCTGGAGGACTCCCTTCTGTCCCTCATACCTCCCACCTCAGTTCCCCAGACCTTTTCAGACTCTGGGGTGGGGAGAAAAGAGGTGGGGAGTAAGGGACAGTAACCACTGGAGTGACAGCAAAAGCATTCGCAACAACAACACAAAATGACAACACACTCCTGATAAGTACTTAAATGATTAACCTAATAATAAATTAGAAGAGAATAGATAGAAATATTTTTTTTCTTCTTAAAGAAACATCCTTTTATAATAACCCTCGAGTACGCTGACAGATCAGTAGCAGTCGGTCTATCTCCACAAAGAGAGGGTTAAGTGCTTCAAGGGTCGACTGTGGGGTCAGGCATTCCGGAAGGTTCCCCAGCTGCTGGAACCCAGGCAGCCACGACCCAGGGCTCAGGGGCTGAGCCTCAGTGGCCAAGGTAGGCCAGCTTGCCCGTCGGTTCATGAACACACAGAACTACAGTGAACATACTCATCCACGACCTGAATCGATCCTGGTTCTAAAGCTTACTTAGGAGTTCATTTGGTGTGCAATAACGCTATCTTTTTCAAAAAGAAAACAAAATAACCCCCCCAAACAAAAGCAACAACATGACTTCCATTGCACAGAGCTTTGACACAGAGCCATCTATTAAGTGCTTCCTGTTTAAAGCAAACTACAAAAAATAAAATAAAACAAACAACAAACAAAAGATAATTATGGGTTGGGAAAAAAAATATCAAACTAAAGCAGCCCCGTGCCACTTGGATGTGTCTTGCTGAATGGTGTCCTATTTTGCCAACGGAAGTCCCAAACACTTCCTGGCACTGTGCTTCTGATATATTTTCCATAGGGATAGAGGAGTGGTATTGGGATTTAAGGCACCTTTCCTTTCTGATCACAGAAAGCTTAGTACATAGCATATTTGTGGTAGAAATTAAAGCCAGAACACTACAAAATTACAGTAACAGACTCTATTTAACATGAGCAAACTAAACCCATCTACAAAAAGCAACTCAAAGGCATTTGAAATTTGAATAACTGAGGGATGGGGCATGCACATTCATGCATAATCTAATGTCTTTCTCTCATTAGCCCCCTCCCCCTCATTCTTGGCAACAATGCTGAACTTTTCAAGTCAGCATTTCAAAGGAGACCAGGAGCTTTGGAAATGTCTTGTTAAAGCTAAATGTCACTTTGTCCAAAAATGAAAACTCAATATGCCACTGAAGGTGTGGCCATGGGATCTTTGGAGGGGAGGTGGCAGGAATGGGGTAGGGGCGGGCATGGGGGCGAAGAAGCAGGTCCTCAAGTGGAACACTGGGGAATCCTGGCTTTTCTTTTGCTGTTCCTGAACTCCGTTCTGGCACTGGTTGAGCCTGAGGTCTTGGGTTGTATCTTTGCTGAGGAGCTTGTCCCTACCCTCACTTTCTGGTTAGTTTCCATCTATAATGCACTGGCAGAAGTAATGAGAACAAAATTTTCTCAAATTAGTCCATTCTCTTAGCATGCAATTTTACTGGTCAGTCTGGCATACAGGACCTCTGGGAGCTGGAATCAAGCCAGTTAAAGAGTCTCAGGCCACCTGGGACAAGCATTGCCATAGTGGCCACAAAGCCTTCCCCTGAATCAGTAAAGCCTTAGAGAAACTGCAGCGGCAGCTATGCCAGGTGAATTCGATGGGGACAACAAAACTAAGTTCCCTATGTCCTACTAGGGCACTTTGGCCACTACAGCAGGTATAACTCAGATCCACCAGCTGTCCTGGGAGCTGGTTTTCACCCACATGGAACAAAAACTAGCATGCTCTTTTGGGAAATAAAGACCAGGTATGCATGATAGGGGAGAAAGTCCAATGGCCTTTCCTGTCCTGGAGATACTTGTGTTTGTAGAGTTCCTGGCAAGGTTGCAGGGCTAGATACAAGAGATGTGGATAGTCTCAGTTCCTACAGATGTGTGCTTATGTCCTCTGGGGATAACCTCTGGCCAAAGGAATGGCTGTGATGGAGTTTGACAGCTGTGTGGGAAGGAAGGCAGAGAGAAAGACAAGAATTTCTGAGGCTAGAGACCACCCCTGTCTACAGACCCAACAGCTGCTGGAGTTCCAAGAACAGCTGAAAGCCAAGAGAAAAATCCCTGCGCTTAGCAGACTTCAGACACCACTCCAGGATGCGCTGACGGAAGGAGGCAAAAAGCCCACCTGCCAAGCTGAGATGATCTGTTAAGCTTGCAGCCCCTTGATCCCCCCTCTTCCCAGGCTACTTGCCTCACAGTTCTGAGTGATGTCAAGTGGTGAGGTAGAAGAGGACAGATGAAGGAAGACAATGAAGAAGGGACAGGAGCAACATAACCAAAGAGCCTTCAACTCCCTTGCTCTAGCCCATCTTCTCTAACAAGGATGGCTGACAGCCTCAGGGGGCTGACCTGGAATGATTACAGGTACCAGCAGCAGCACAAGCCTGTGATGGGGAGCAAACCATTGCACAGGATGCTCAGGGTCCACTGAGGCCTCCTTTGTAAGAAAACACCACTATGGAGAACAAAGCTATCTAGTCTTCTGTGGCAGGGAGGCACCTGTGGTGCAGGTCACCAGCACTCCAGCTCCCCAGTGCTTAGGCAATGCCTAGAGAGTGCCCCTTGGCATTGGATACAAGCTGCTTCCTGCTGGACTTGCTCATGAGCTCCACAACTGAACTTGGCTCTGGCTACGGAGGCAGATGAGTTATGTGGGTAGCAATGGGCAGAGACTCTAGGACACAAGAGCCCAGAGGAATACTCAGCACATAGCCCTGCTGTATTCTGGGCCATCTACCAGATGTGGCTTTAAACAGGGGGAAGAGAGAGACACTGACTAGAGGAAAGCGTAACTGGGAGACACCTGAGTTTTGCAAAGAGAAGATCTGTCCCAAGGAGGATGACAGCTGTCTTCTTTCGCCTCATTTTCAGAGAGGTGTGGCTGGAGTTCTAATCATCCCAGAGAGTCTTCACTGATTCCAACCCAGGATACAGTCATAAGCCACTTGTGATATTTTTCAGGTGGCTAGCTAAGAAAATAGTCAACTTCAGCTAAGTGCCTGCCTTTTTTTTTTTTTTTTTTTTTAAATAAGAGAGAGGTCTAGTAGACAGAGATCAGACATCTCCACTGACTAAAGTTTCAGGGAAGAGGTGACTGGGAGCCAGGTCAGAGTGGAAGTAAGTGGGCAGGAGTCTAAGAACCTACATGCCTACTACTTCGGATGCCACAAGGGGTCTTGGACATGAATAAAGAGGCATCAAGGGGCCTGATGTGAACACTGATTTTATGGTGGGCTCCCACTTAGCCAGCTGGATAATGGCATGATAGCTAGTTAGGATTGCTGCCTCTAATTAAAGAGAAAGGCATTTAGAATGAGCAGTGGCTTGTGATGAAGTGTTAGTGTTTATATGGAACCATTCTCCCCTGGGGGAGAAGCACACTCAGCTTTGTAAGCTGAGAGAGTGTAAAGAGGGTGGTTGGCTGCCTGCGGGAGCTACTGCTTGGATCTCCAGTCAGCGGAAAGTCACCACACGAGAGAGCGCTGTTCAAGGCACTTGAATATTGCTTTTCAAGATGAAAGATGAACCCTTGGACTCAAACTGGGAAGGGAAGGAGGATCTGATGAGGAGGGAGATGCAACCCCCGCAGGTTTTTGTGTTGTCTACTAGCAATTCTCAGAAAGACTACAGACAGTGCTAGCTTAACCCCAAACCCCATCAAGTTGGGATCTCAATTAAAATAATAATAATAATAAATAAGAGAAAATACAAATACAGAACTCAAGCAAAAACCTAACCAAGTGATTGTATCGAGCACCCAGATGGAGGTCTGGCACAAGAGACAGAATGGAAATCAGTAAGAACCTAGTTAAAGAAACAAAAATGACTAACTTGCTTGGAAGAGCCAAAGGCTGTCTTAGACTGCTACTGTGTGGCCCCCAGGATGGAACAGAACTTGACTTCCATTTCCTCAAGATCTAACACTGGTTAAGTAACAGTCACGCCTTTAAAGCGAACACACTACCCTCTTCAGTCCTGCTAACTCTGCTTCTCATCCTAGTGAAAATGAGCGGTTTAAGGTCCATCACCCATGATGACAGATTCCCTCAAGGGTTTTGTGGAGAGGGTACCATGATCCCACCAGTGACACTGCTCCATGTCCCTAATGGGTCCCTGGTGTGAATGAGCTCTTCCTCACTCAATATCCCTGCACAGAGCCTGGTGTGACTCAGTTTTCTCCTTCTGTCCCTTCACTGTGAATTTTCTTCTCACTGAACCAGATCTCAAGTGCAGAAGACCATCCAAAGACAGAACAAAGGGGTCTACCTCCCAGCCTCCTAGAGCCTCCTGGAAACTTCTCATTCATGAAAAGGCATTGTTTTTAGTGTCGTGACTCTTATAGTCTGTGAAAACTCCAACTAAGGGCTTGCAGCTGCAGGTTGAAAGACTGTGAATGAAAATATATAAGCTCCAAACATCATGCAAGAAATGTGGTTTCACATCTGACAGTCAAAGCCTACAAGCTAAGAATAACAAGCACACTGAGGTGTAATAGCGGGAGATACTTTTAAAATTAGAACTCCCTCCCACCCTCCCAAATAAAAAAAAGTACTATTAATTAATTAAACTTAAGAAATAATGAATGCACCATTAAAATGTCATCCAAAGATGTTGACCTAAGACAAAAGTTTCAATGATACACAATACGGTCAAAAAGTTTTCAATCAGTAATATACAGTATGACAGCTACATCTTGTAAATTATACCCAATACTGCCGGCAGTCTATCCCTCTAAAGAATATTTGCCCCTTTCATCCCTTCCTAACAATCAGATAATAAAATACAGCACCTATAAATAAGCAAAAAAAAATATATATATATACCGAAATCATCTATTGTTAGTTTAAAGGTATGGCAATAAGGAGTCTAAATTAGCAAAACCTGTAGAAGCCATGACTGATAAACCAGCTTATTGAAAAAGGTGGCAGTAATGCACTCTATGTGTGCACAGGTACTTAAGAAAATACACAGACGTATAAAATTGCACACACACACACGCACGCACACTCTCATCCACCTCTATACTCACGCATATACACATAGACAATGGGAGGAATCAAGAGACAAGTTAGACTTTTGATTTGTACTTAGACTGCCCTAAACTGTGCATTAAAAAACAAAACAAAACAAAACAAAACAAAACTTGTGAGAGGAGAAAAGAATGAAGGGCCAATGGTCTGGTCTGGAATTGAAGTGTCACCATTTTGGTGAGTTTGGGCCATTTCTATAGGGATGGAAATAGAGCCCAGACTGCTGCGTTCTCTCTTCTGCAGGGAAGGAAGCTTCCCACGAGTAGATAGGGTTATCAGTGCTTGTGGTGGGAAGGGGACGGGGAGAAGAGAAAGAAGAGAGAGCGAGCGCATGGATGCGTCAGCCCTGCCCAAGCCCAGGAGCATCTTCTCCTGGAGGCTCAGTCTGTCAGGTGCCCTGGAGAGTGGCATGAGGTGAGGTGCCTTCTGTGCCAACGAAAGATGAACAGACAGTTGCCTGCACACGGAGGGACTAACTGCTGTGACCTTGCGGGCCTACATTTTCCTTCCTTCCGACGTTTGCACATGAGCAAATGTGCCAACACAGATGCAGACACCATAAACAAAATGAACCGGTACATGCTACAGTTCTAACTTGTCTCCTAAACCTCCGAGATATGAGGTCTGATCAGCGTGCTCTGCGGTTAGAGGTTAAAAAGCAGATTATAAAATACCTAGATTCGGATCTTTCTTTTTGTCCTGATTTGGCCTAGAATGGAGTGTATTAAACAAACTCTGGCCAGCAAAAGCCCAGAGTCAGTTAAAGCTATGGATCAATGTGCACTACATGTCAGGATTCTATTTACGTACAAGAAAACACTACATCAGCTACCACAAAATCAGATATTTTTCCTGATGTGACTTTTCTTTTTTTTTCTTTTTGTTAAAAAATATGTGGAGTAAATGTGTTTTATTTTAATTCAAAGTTTCAAACGAGAAGATTCTTTTCTTGAAAATATTTAGGAATCCAAACTAGTGTGTTTAGAGTCGGTTTGACTGTGCAATCTCTTAGTGGCAACTGAACAGCTACAAAAACTTTCTTTTTTAATTTTTCTGAAAAATCCCCCCCTTCCTGGTTTAAGAAGATAATAGTGTATTATCGCTCTGAAGCCATTAGATGGCAGATAAAAAGCCCCCTTTTAATATGTGGGTTTGATTTTTTTTTTTTAAAGCCCACACGAAAGAGGAGGGCACAAGGCAAAAGCTGTATAGAGTTATTCCAGAACCTGTGGAAATCACTTAGGGCAATTAAAAAAAAAAAACACTTCAGGGTACAAAAAAGCTCGACTACACATTTCCGTTTTCTTCCTTGAAAACACGACATAGATTGGGCTTAATGCTCCTTTGTTTTCTATATGCACCTTGGCCTATGGCGATTTTGCCCTGTGGCCCGCAGGGCGGAAGTGCGCAACACGTCCAGGCCTCGGGTCAGCACCGCCCTCCACACACCCGCCTGCCCCAGCCCACTACTAGCCAGTGCTGACTAGGCCTGGCGGGGACCTGCTAGGCGCAAGTAGGCCTGGCTAGGCCCGGCGAGGCCCTGCTGATCAGGCCCAGAGGCCCGGCGCCCTCAGAACTCCCATTCAATGGGCTCCTCCCGGCTGGCAGCCTTCTCCAGGCGGTGGATGATGCTGTTCAAGTTTGCGGCCTTCTTTTTGCGGACCGGGTTGTCTCGGGCACCCGCCGCCTCAGGCAGGCCGAAGAGGCTCTGCAGTGAGCTAGGCCTTCGTGCAGGTGCGTTGGCGGGCGCGCTGGTGCTTGGCAACGCAGAACTCCTCTCTGCAGGGCCCGCCCTAGCCGCCCCAGGGGCCTCGGTGGCCGTCGCAGTGACTGAGGTAGCGGCGTCCTCTCCAGCCGCGGGTGCGGCGAGGTTTGGCACAGGCGCCGGAGTGTCGGCGAGGCCTTCGGGCGGTGGCCTAGGCCGGCCCGCATCTTCACCGTCATCCTGTCCTGGGGTCGCTGAGGATAGTGGCTGCACCTTCGCCTTCTCAGCAGGCTGCGTTGCCTCTTCCTGATCGGCCGCTGCGGCCACCTCTGCTGGCCCTCCCTGAGACTTGGTGGCTACTGTGGTGCCACCTGGCTCCTCGACATCAGCCGCCTCCACACCATCACAGCTGTCACCTTCTGAGCTGGGTGCGACGCGGCCACTTCGGGCCGAAGGTGAGTCGCTGGCACCGGCCTGGCCCTGGCTTCCGGCTTGAATCTCCTCAATGAACAGTTCTCTGCGGATTCGAGACCTGCAAGACACAAGCGAAGGCCCTGTGAGGTTCCTGTGCACAGGCCCGGCTTTACTTCTGTGCACCTTCTCTCTACCACATACTTAATTTTTTTGAGATAAGATCCCTTATCCCAGACTAGCCTTGGACTTGTTAATTAGTCACGAGCGAGCGACCTTGAGTTTCCAGTCTAGCAGCCTGCATTTCCCTAGGGCTGGGGAAAGTGTGCACCACCTTTCATGGTTTACGTGGCTCTGGGGAAAGAAGTCAGGGGTCTGAGCATGTGAGGGAAGCACTCCATCAACTGAGCTACATTCCCAGCCCTATTTTAATTTTTGAAACTGGGTCAGGATAGTCTTGATTTTGGCTCACTTAGTCTGGCCTTGAACAGAGGATCCTCCTGTTCCAGCCTCCAGAGGACTGGAATTCCATGGTGTAGTTACTGGCTGGCCCATTTCTTCCAGCTCCATCTTATTCTGATGGTCCATTAACCAGCTGCTTCCTCTGTGTTGCAGCAAGCATGGTTCCTGGCATGTGATCATATTCACTGACTAAATAAATGAAATTTCGTTGGAAAGTCATTTATTGGATGTAACCCAAGGTGGGAATCTTGTAACTTCAGCTCTGAGCCAGAGACTGTCAGGCCTCTACCCAATGGTGTATTTTCAACTGATTCCCTACTCTGAAGGGAGCAGACTCAGTGGGGAAGTCAGTTGATTAAGAAGGAAGGAGACTAAATATATGCTTTTATTATATCAAGCCTAAAAAAATGTGAATGGGTATTTTGCCTGTATATATCTGTGTGTACCACATGTGGGCCTGGTGCTGTTGGAGGTCGGAAGAGTGTGTTGGCTCTCCTGAAACTGGAGTTACAGACAGTTGTGAACCTCTATAGGGGTGCTGGGAATCAAACCAATGTCCTCTGGAAGAGCACATTCTCTATCACAATCTATATCTCTCTAACCCCTGAACCAAGTGTGTATATGTAAATATATATATATATATATACATACACACACACACACACACACACATATATATATAGTTTTTCTTTGAAATAGGGTCTCACTATATAGCTCTGGCTGTTCTGGAAGTCACTATGTAGACCAGGATAGCCTCAAACTCAGAGATCTGCTGGCCCCTGCCTCCCAAAGGCCACCATGCCTGGCTTAACTAAGTTTCTCTGTGTAACAGTTCTAGTTGTCCTGGAACTCGCTCTATAGACTAGGCTGGCCTCGAACTCTCAGAGATCTGCCTGCCTCTGTCTCCTGAGGGCTGGGATTAAAGGCATGCGCCACTACTACCCTACAGACTTTTAAATTTTAAGACACGGTCTTTCCAAGTTTCCATTGAACTTAACTCTGTAGCCCAGGCTGGCCTTAAACTGTAAACCTTCTTTCATTAGCTTCCTGAATAGCTGAGGTTATAGACCTGTCCTAGGCTTTATTGAGGGGATGTGGTTTGGCTCAACATATGAGAACCTTGGGGCAGTTGTTTACCTGGTCCATAGTTAAATGTTTTTGCTAGAGTGAAATCAGAACCTCATCCTAAAAGTTCATTCATTCATTTGTTTATTTATTGAGACTGGGTCTCTCTACACAGCTCTGGCTGTCCTGTAACTTACTATGTAGACCAGATTGGTCTTGAACTCATAGAACTCCACTTACCTCTGCCTCCCCAGTATTAAAGGCCACTTTGCCCAGCTTTTTAAATTACATTTCCTTATTTTGTTTGGGCGTGTTACCTGCATGTATGTACGTGTACCACATGCATGCCTGGTGCCCATGGAGGCCAGAAGAGAGTGTTAGATCCCCAGGAACTGGAGTCACAGATGGCTATGAGCCACCATGTGGGTGCTGGGATCTGAACCTGGGTCCTCTGGAGGAGCAGCCAGTGCTCTACTGCTGAGCATCTCTACAGTCCCTGTCCTTAAGACCTTAGAGCTGTGAGGTTCTGATAGGTCCCCAGGAAGATCCAGGCATAACAGCTTTCCTAGGGTAGCTTCAGGAACTTGGAAACTGGAGGCCCAGTCCCTGGTGCTGTGATGGGAAGGTGGCTCTGCTCATAATCAGTTTTCAAGCCTTGTGACATCAAGGATACCAGTGGGGTGAGCACCCAGTTCTGTTCTGCCCAGTCAGGAGATGACAGGTTAAGTGGGTAGCTATGCTAAATCTTATAAATTGCTTGCAAGTATGTCTCTGCCAATTACTAGCTATACAACTAAGATAAATAAGTGTGGGTTTTTGAGTTTGTTTGCTCTCAAGCTTCTTTCTCAGACAAGGCTTTAGTATGTAGGCCAGGTTGGGCTAGAACTACTACCTCGGCCTCCCGAGTGCTAGGTTTACAAGTGTGTACCACCATGCAAGTTCTTACAGGACCTTTGGAGTGAGAGAAGGCAGAGGTGAATGGGCTGGATGTGGCAAAAGGGTAGTACAGGATCTCTGACCTTATACACCAGCCTCCTTAGTAGGTGTATAGGACTTTTCTTGGTAAAATACAACTAGTGATCTGGAGCTTGAGTACTGGTTGGAGGACATACACTTATCTATTTACTTTTGGAGATAGGGTCTTACTCTGTATCCCAGACTAGACTCAAACTTTCCATCCTTCTGTTTTTCTAGATACTGGGGTTAAAGATGTGCAGCACCATGCCTGGCATTATCTTCTAAATTTTAGCTTATTTTCTTGAGTGTAAGTGACAGAATGCAGCTACACCACTGCAACCTCAGAGTTAATTTCTAGAAAAGCTGTACAGAAAAGAATGTTTGGGAGGCATAGGGGATTTAAACAAGGTCTTGTCCATGCTAGGCAAGGGCTGTACCACTGTGCCACACCCCCAGCTCCTCACTGGATTTTAGACAAGAGCTCTATTGCCAAGTCACACTGGAACCTAGGCCAATTCTCAATTATCTGTTCATGGTTTATTTTCTCTTTGTATGTGTGTTTGAGGTACATGTGGCAAAGCCACATGCCATGTGTGAAAGTCTGGACGGCTTGCAAGAGTCAGTTCTTTCCTTCTGTGTGTGGGGCCAAGGATCAAGTTTAGGTAGTCAGCTTGGTGGTAGGCATCTTTACCTGCTGAGACACCCTACCAATTCCTAGCTTTTAAAAAAAGACCCTTAGGGCTGGATGTGGTGGTACAGGCTCTTGATTTCAGTTCTTGGGTTTGAGGCCATCCTGGCCTATGTAGCAAATTCTAGGCCAAACAAGGCTATGTAGTAAGACACTGTTTAAAGTGATGATGCTACCACTGGGCAAGATGGTAGGCATATAGAAATAGAGATAGCAACAGATAGAGGCACTCTGCACAGACATCTGACAAACTGAGTTCCGCTCCAGAAGCCCATAAGGCGAGTGGAGAGAACTGAAACCTAAGAGTTGTCCCCTGACCTTCAGTCAACACAAGCATGCACAAATAATAAAGTTTCCTCAGTTCCCAGAGGAACTGTAGCCTCTTTACCCAGCTGTTCACATTGTACAATGTTTTGGCCTTGGGTTTGCCTTCAGAACCAAGGGCCACACTGTGCTCTGTTGGGTGTTCTCATGGTCTAGGCTTTGGAGCTCTTGATAGGGCTCTACCTGTAATTATGGAACCAGTTGATGACGGTGCTGGTCTTCAGGTTGAGTTGTGTGGCAAGCTCCTCGATTGTTTTTGGTGACGGATATGGCTTCTGCTGATAAGCTCGCTTCAGCGCTTCTTTCTCCTCGGGCGCCAGCACCACTCGAGGTTTCTTCAGCTGGTGTTGTGGCTGAGGGCTAGCGCCTTGACTGTAGTCAATGCCCACAGAGGGGGGCTCACAGGGCTGGCTGTCACTGACAGAGCTGTGTCGCCGCTTCATATAGGCTGTAGGGAGAGAGAGTGAGCAGGTGAATTTAGGGATAGCTTGGAAACCAGTTCAAAGCCTCAGCTCTGGGAACAGAGCAGGATGCTGAAAAACCTGTAGGCTGAGTATGGTGGGACAACATATGCAGTCCCAACAGTGAGGAAGCTGAGGCAGGAGGATCATGAGTTTGAGGCCAGTCTGGGCTACATACTGAGATGTAGTGTGAAAAAAAGACAAAAACAAAATAGCTGGGGTGTAGCTCAGGGCTAGAGTGATTGTTTAGCATATATGATATCCTGGGTTTGAGCCCTAGCACTCAAAACTAAATCTAACACCACCTCTAATAACGCCCTGCAGTGGAACCATACTGTCTGTCCTCAGCAGATACTGAGGCTCACTCTGATGTCATGTGAGGTCCCAGCTATCTCTGGCCAACCTGACAGTTAAGGGCTGCGGAAAGATCCAGCTTGATGAATACACTGGTGGCAGGGACACTTGGGGTACCTGAGAGGGGCACTAATGGAGGTCACTGGACAAAGCTTGGAAAGGGCTGAGAGACTTTCCAAGAGAGGATATTCTAAGGTCATCTTGAAGGATGATGTTGGTTCATCTAGAAAATATAGGCTCTGGCATAGAAGACAGTAGAAGACTGTAACTGCCTGGGGAGATGGCTCAGAGGTTTATGAGCACTTGCTGCTCTTCCAGAGGTCCTGAGTTCAAACCACATGGTAGCTCACAACCATCTATAATGAGATCTGGTGCCCTCTTCCGGCAAGCAGGCATACATGCAGACTAACACTGTACATATAATAAACAAATAAAGTTTCAAAAAACAAAACAAACACAAAAAGAAAATGGAAATTTAAACTGAGGTGGTGAATGCTTATAATCCTAGCACTTGACAAGTGGAGGCAGGAGAATTAGGTAGGTGTTCAAGTCATCTTTGGCCTGGACTATGTAAGACCCTGACAAGAGAAAAAGAGTAGGGAAAAGAAAGAAAGAAAGGAAGAAAGAAAGAAAGGAAAAGAAAGACAGAGAGAAAAGGAAGAAAGGGGAAGGAAGACAATAATAATGGAAGTCAATGACTGAGATAAAGGTAATATCAAAATGGAACCCTAACAGACCCCAGCATGGTGTAGGAGGGTCTTCTTTCTATGTGTTGCTTTCATTGATCGAATAAAGAAAACTGCCTTGGCCTTTTGATAGGGCAGCCCTTAGGTGGGCAGAGTAGACAGAACAGAATGCTGGGAAGAAGGGAAGTGTGGCAGACGTCATGATTCTCCTGCCCAAGACGAACCCTGGTTAGACTCATGCTGGTAAGCCATAGTCAAGTGGCGATACACATTAATGGAAATGGGTTAATCAAGATGTGAGAGTTAGTTAATAAGAGGCTAGAACTAATGGCCAGGCAGCAATTTAATTAATACAATTTCCATGTGGTTATTTCAGGGGTTAAGCTAGCTGGGCGCTGGGAATGCAGCCCGCTCCTCCTCCTTACAACACCAGCACATCAGCACATCACCACAGGAGATTTCCAAGGAGAAGCCAAAAAGGGCCCAGAGGGACAGTTTGGGGCTATTGGTTCTATAGAAAGGGCTCAAGAACCTTGAGGGGACGGACTGACAACAGCATCTAGCACCACAGGGAGGAATGTCAGGAAGGACTAGACTGGACTTTGTACTTGGTAAATATGGGGGAAAATAAAACCCATAGAACACAAGAGGTTACGTGGTATTGGGCGGGAAGGAAGGAAGCAAGGGTGGCCAGTGAAGTTGCTATCTGTGTTGGGAGGCTGAACTACAAACATAGGCAATTGCTCTGGGGAGACTGAGGCGGAAGAATTTTTGTCAGTTCAGGTTCATGAGGGGTTACACAGTAAGACCTAGTCTTAAAAACAAGGAAGGGAGGGAGGGAGGGAGGAGAGGAGGGAAAGAAAGAAAGGAGGAAAGAAGAAATGAAAAGCAAAGACGTGACTTCTAGAGGGTAAGTGCAGGGCTAGGAGTGACTTTTTAGTGAGTGAGTGACATGAGTGTGGCTCTGTGGTAGAAAATAAACTTACTGCACACTGGCTCTGAGTTCGGTCCCAAACTGTTCCTCACAAAGATAAGGAACAAATTCTAAGTGGAGGAGAGAGGCTATGGAGAAAGCATTGGGGAGGAATCCAGATGGCTAGACTGAGGCAGGATCCTGAGCCTGGAATTGGAAGGACAGTTGGAAACAGCGATCGGGTCATGGGATAATGGTAGTACCACTGATGTCTTTCTATAGGAGGCTATGGGGAGGGCCATCAGGTCTGTGGAGTAACACTGAGGACCCCACAAAAGTTAAAGGCAGCAGTCTGTTAGAGGTAGTCCAGAGGCACTTAACAGCCTACGGGGGACAGAGGAGTGTGCCTGGAGCGCAGCGCTAGCAGGGGTACTCAGGGTTGGAGGAGTGGAAGATACTTGGCGAGAAGAGGACCATAACCAGAGAAGTAGAAGGGGATGCCAGAAATCCAGGGGACCCATCCTGGGTAAGTGGAGCAAGAAGAGAAATAAAGGCAGGATATAAGATGGCTGGGGAATCAGGAGTCTGAGTTTAGGATCTGGAAGGTGGAAGAATTTGGTTTGGTAACAAAGTCAGCCCAAAGTTGAGGAGGAGTTCTAAGAACTTGATACCTGGGTGCTGGACTGAAAAGAAAGATCATCCATGTGGGACATTTCCTGGCTGACACAGGACAAGGGCATGGTCAAAAGCCACTGGCTTGTGAAAATGTAAAGTGATTGACAGATTATGCAGACAGGAGTTTTTCATATATGAAGGCAGGATGGCGATGGATCCGGAGGAAGAGATCTTGCTTAAGGTGTACCCTGAATGAACATGTAGGTATACAGGGGAAGCGCAGTGGTGGAATTGAGGTCCTGGGATGCTGTGTGGGCTCTCTGTTGTGTGCCTCTGTTATAGCAGACAGTGCTTGGAGCCACAAACCACTGTGATTGCTTTAGCAAGGAATTGGTCACACTACTCATCTCCCCACTCCTGCCATGTGTGTGTGTATGCACATGTGTACATAACACATGTGGAGGCCAGAGGACAACCTCCAGCAATGTTCCTCAGGTGTCATCCACCCTAATCCCTTTTTAAATTATCATGTGTGGGTGAGACAGGGTGGGACAGTATGTAGCATGTGCAGTGCTAGAGACGTCAAATTCCATGGGTCCTGGGTTATAGGTATCAGCCATAAGGTTGCTGGGAACCGAATGAGGTCCTTTTTAAGAGCAGCAAGTGCTCTCAGGCACCGAGCTGCTTCTTCAGCCCTCCCTTTCTTTTAGTTTTGAGACAGAGTCTCTCATGGGTCTGGCACTCATTGAATAAGTCAGGATGGTTTGCCAAGGAGCCCCTAGGATCCACTTGTCTTTCTGACTCCCTTGTGTTGGAATCACAAGTACATGCCTGTCATTTTTTTTTTTTAAAGGACAAGGTCTTTCTATATAGCCCTGGTTGTCTTGGAATTTACTGTGTTGCTATGTAGACCAGGCTGGCCTTGAACTGCAGAGATCCATCTGCCTCTGCCTTCCTGTTGGGATTAAAAGCAGGTGTGACAACATACCCCACTTTATTTTTTAAATAAAGTGTGTTCCAGGGCTGAAACTCAGGTCCTCTTGCTTGCAATGAAGCACTTTATTGACTGAGCCATCTCCATTTCTCTCAATATCTAGTCCTGGTTATCATTTGTAGCCTAGGGTGGTCTGGAATTCATGGTCCTTCTGACTCAGTTAATAGAGTGCTGGGATTATAGATATGTGTCTCCATACCTGACATTTTAACAGAATACAAGTTAATCATTCTCACTTTTTGCATAACTGCCTGACTGCTTCTTCTGTTTCTAACTCTTGTTCTCTGGAGAGGTTGGTATTTTCATCGTCCTTGGTTGCAAGAAGAGAGCTTTATGCTAGGTAGTTAGTGAACTCTACCTACTATTTTATCACCAGGAAACTATTGGGAAGGTACATCCTGGGGGCTATGGATGGGGATCAGTAGAGGATTCTATTCCCAGCACTGCATAAGCCAGATGTGGTGGTGGGTGTCTCTAATCCCAGCACCCCAAAAGCTGAGGCAGGACCACTAGGAATCCAGGATAGCCTGGGCTACCTAATAAATTGGGGGGGGTATGATCAGGAGTTCAAGGTCACTTTTGGCTACAAGAGATTGTCATATATATGAGAAAGAGATGGAGAAGGGAAGGGGGGGGTGGTGAGGTGAGGAGAGCCAACCTCTAGATTAACAGTTCTCAACCTGTGGGTCACAACTTCTCTGGGGGTGGAATGACCCTTTCACAGGGGTCACCTAAGACCATCAGAAAACACAGATATTTACATTATGGTTCGTAACAGTAGCAATATTACAGGTATGAAGTAGCAACAAAAATAATTTTATGCTGGAGGGGTCACTACAGCATGAGGAACTGTATTAACTGCACCATTTGTAAAATTGAGAACCACTGTCCTAGATACTCAGGAAGTGACAGTCATCACAGGCACCAAGGGGAGGACCAAGCAGTAGCACCTGCTGTGTTACTGACAGGTCAGGTGCCCAGTTACCTGAGAAGGTTAGTGAAGGCTTCCCTATCTAGTAGCTCCAGTAAATGGCTTAATAGCCATTCTAGGGACCTTGGATGCCCCAAGGTGTGGGCTCCATGAAGACAGTATCACTTTTGTGACACAAGATGGCACCAGAGCCCACGTGGAGGAAGCTGGAGGCATGGAAAGCCTGGAGTATCTAATCTGGGGTGGGGAAGGGGAAGAGGCTATAAAAGAGCCTCTTGTAAATGTCTGAAGGGACAGGGTTCAAGGTGGCCTGGTATCATACTTGTGGTGGCTGGTCTTGGCTTTGACAGAAGTGGGGCATTTAATATTATCTGGGTAAGTACTGGAAACTGTTGGAACTCAGCAGCACTGTTTACTAGCTTCTTTTGCTTGTTTTCTTATTCTTGAGCTAGGGTCTCACTAAGTTGCTCAGTCTGGTCTACTCACTCTGTAGAGTAGTTCTGATAGGTCTTGAACTATCCTCTTCCCTTCTCGATAAGATTTCCTGAGGCTTACTGTGTAGCAAAGATGACCTTAAACTCCTGATCCTCCTGTCTTTATTTCCAGAATGTTGGTGATGAAACCCAGGGCTGTGTGCATGCTAAGAACTGGGCTATATAGCCTATGCTCCTGTTTCAGCCTCCCATGCCTTATTCCTGGCTTGTCTATTGTTTCTTCATAGCATTCTCTGTGTTTTTTTGCATGAAATTTAATACAGTAAATTAAAAAATTAGCAAGTCACTAGGCTTTCCAAGTATATGGTGTTGCCTGGAGCTACCCTGGAGGCTATGGCCTGAATCACACCTTAGGATGGGCCACATCCAGTTGAAGTGGCCCTTGATGGGTGGAGAGCACACTGCTAATAGAGGCATCCTGAGGTCCCAGTGTGGCAGACCATTGACATAATGGTACCAGCAATGGCAGCTCTTCTCCCAGCTTTCCAGGGTCAGGGACAGAACCCAGGGCTTTCTACATGCTAAGAGAGTACTCTACCACCCAGGCTAGCCCCAGCCTCCTCTTTACAGGTATGTACTATCATGTCTGGTTCAAGTACTTTCTTTCTTGTATTTCCCCCAGTACTGGAGGTTGAACCCAGGCCTTCTACATGCCAAGTAAGCATTTTATGAACTAGTTACAATCCCAGCCCATCAATATACGTATCTTAATGAGCTCTTCACCATCTTCACAAGCCTTTAGCCTGAGGTACACACACAGAAGATGATGTAACAGATGTAGTAAGTGAGCTAAAAGGCAGCCAGCAAATGAGCCATTACCACAGACTGTGATGTGCTCAAGGGTCACAAGATCTTTATTTATAGACTCTTGGCCCCAAAGAGGGACAAGTCTCCCTTGTCCTTTGAGCTACTCATTGGCTGTACTCGCCTAAACTAAGGTGCCCTGCTTTACAGAGTCCTGATCAGGATGAGGGACCCATGTCCCTCCATCTCTGTGGAAAGACTTCCAGGAAGGATGTGTGGGAATGATGGTGCCTGGGTGGCAGAAGGTGGGCAGGTACCTTTTTTCTCCATCCGCTTCATGTCCATCAGCTTCTCCACGTTGTTGGGGTCGTTCAGCCATAGTTGCATGCGGACAAAAGGCTCTCGTCCTTTCAGACTGAGCTTATGCCAGGGCTTTGGGCGGGCAAGAAGGTCGGAGACAGAGCCCTGGGTGAGCCCCAGGATGGTCTCCCCAAATAAGCGCTGACCTGGAAAGCAGATGTGAGAGATGGTCACTGACAGACAGGGGCAAGCAGGTGCCCAGAACCTGAGCTAGACACATGGTTCAGTGGCCCATAGCCTGGACTGTGGAGGCCTGGCCTACAGCAACACTTTGTAGAAACATTTTTCTTTAGTTTTTATAGGCTGGAGAAGGAACCTAGGGCTTTGTACATAGAAGGTGAGTAGTCTATTACTAAGCTACACCCCCTGTCTCTTACTGGGGGATTCTAGGTAGGTGTTCCCCCTCGGACCTAGAACTTCAGTACTGAAACATTTCTTTCACTTGTCTTCTAACAGTTTCATTGGCAAGGGAATTAGAATACACTTGCATTCTACCTGTATTGACAAATGACTATGCTTTTGGAAAAGCTTCCATACACACTTGTAATTCTAGCACTTGGGAGGCTGAGGCAGGAGGATCAGAAGTTTTAGGTCAGCCTGGGCTACATAGGGAGTTACAGTAGCCTCATGAGAAAAAAAAAGAAAGAAAAGAAAAACTTCCAGGAGCCAGGTGAACTGAGGGTGACACCTGCAGTCTATTAGAGGCAGTGAAATCCCTAAGCACAAATCAGAAGGTGGAGTGGCAGCTGCTCAACTCTCACAGGCAACTTCTAACCAGAGGCCAACTGGGTGTCTTGTTATGATTAGCAAGGCAAGGGTCTTACTGAGAGAACAGGCACTTGACCCCTGGGTCACAGCAGGAGGGAAAAGGGGTCTGGAAGTTTTGGGTTTGAAAGGCTCACTGGCTTCACTGCTTCTGCAGTCTCAGCTGCCTTTCTTAATGGGGCTCAGAAGACCAGACCTTCCCTGGAGCCCTGTCTTCTCTCAGGCAGGATAAACAGCCTGCTCTGGGATGACTACAGGGCAGGTGGCTATGGAGGCTGCAAGAGCTCCCAAGCCTGCACTGTGTCACAGACTTAGAAGAAGTGCTTGCAAGCTGGAAGAGATGGCTTACCTTGTGCAAGCATGAAGAACTGAGTTAGATCCCTAGAACTCATAATAAAAAGTTGGGCATGGCTGTGTGTGCCTATAATCCCTGGACTGGGGAGGGGAAGGCAGGAAAACCCCTGCAACTCAATGGTCAGTCAGTCTAGCCCTAACAGTATGCTCCGGGGTCACTGAAAGATATTGTCCCAAAAACTAAGAGTTTGAGGAAGACAATCCACATTGATTTCTGATCTCCATGTGTACAACATGCATGCACATATACATACAAAGTGGGTTTGCTTCCTCATTAAAGCCATTCCTCTGCATGGTGGAGAGAGGGCTGCCATTTTTGTTGTTGTTGTTTTGTTTTTTGAGACAGGGTCTCTCTGTGTAACTGCTCTGGCTGTCCTGGAACTCAATTTGTAGACCAGGCTGGCCTCAATTTCACAGAGACCCACTTGCTTCTGCCTTCAAGAGCTGGGATTAAAGGTATGTGTCACCACTAAAGTTATATATCAGAATCTATTATGACCTATATGGACTGATGGGAAGAGCTTGAATGAACAAAAGCTACTGAGTGGAAGTGGAGATTGGGATTAGAAAAGCCACCATTTGGTCTAACACAATATCTGGGATATAGGATGCTAAGCAGAATGTGCCAATTCCACACTGTGGCTAGAGACTATGGAGGCTGACTTATGCTATCTGTGGTAATGTCTTCAGCTATGAACTGAAAACACTATAGGGAACATCCAGAGAAAATGATGTGTCACTATAACTATAAATATGGTTGACTGTGTGGCCAAATTTAGTTTAGGGGATACCCCCCACCCCATTTTAACTTAAATTTACCAGGTTAAGGTTATAGCTCAGTGCTAGAGCATTTGCCTAGAATTCCCCAGTGAGGAGCTAGGAGTGTGTCAGTGGTTGAGTGTTTAAATAAACACGCCAGGATCCAAGGTTAAGTTGGGAGTGCATCTGGATCTTGATCAGGGGTCATCTCTGTTGCCTGATGCAGCTTGACGCTGACCACTCTGTGACCACAACTACATCCAGGGTCTTGTAGGAAGGCAGATAACTTTCTCCACAAGCCTTAAGAGCCACCAAGGGGGACTACTTCTGATTGCTAAGCCCAGGTGATGGGCTACAGGCTTTCTTGGAAGTTTTTCAGGGTAATAATTGGTCCTATGTAGCACTTGGAAGTGCTGTAGGCCAGCAGGGTACTGCTCTAGCTGCATGTGATATAAGCCAACTAACTTTCCAGTAGGAATGGAAGCTGGTTAGTGATGCCAAGGAGGAGGCTCCAGTGTTTGTCACTTCCAAACTGTGATCTTACAACTTGGTGGTTTGAAAGGAGATTTTTTTTTTCTTCTGCTATTCTCAGTGTTTACATGGAAGGATGCTTTCTAACTGGGAGTGGGTAGCAGGAGTAATCAGCCTGCTTCCTTGGACTTGTGACAAGTCTGTGAAGAAGGGGATGACTCAAGTGTAGGAATCCTTCCACATTTCAATAACCGATGAACATATGGGCTTTGGGCTGTTCTCAAATCAGCAGCTAAATTTTCATTTTTTTATGAATGAATGATTACAATTGTTCCCAGTGGATGTTTCTTTTCCCTGTGTTCTGTTTTGGACAATACATTGCACATAGGGGACATAAATGTGACATAGGGGAACAAGAGGATGGTTGGGCCTGATTCTAGACTGTAAGTCACTGGCAGACTTCACTGAAACTCAGTAGCAACTTGTGTGTGTATATGTGTACATGTGGCAGCCAGAGGACAATTTCGGTGTCATTCCTTAGGCATAGTCTACCTTCATTTAAATTTTTTTCTTTTACATTTATCTAGGTGTGTGTGTGTGTGCGCGCGCGCGCGTGCGTCAGCCAGAAGATAACTTGTAAGAGTAGGTTTTCTATTCTACTCTGTGGGTTTCAGGGATTGAACTTAGGTCATTAGGTTTGACAGCAAGTGCCTTTATCCATGAGCTATTTTTCTGGCTCTCACCCTGTATTTTTAAGACAGTTCTTTCACTGGCCTGGACTTCAGCTAGGTTGCTAGCTGGCAAGTGAACTTCAAGGATCCTGCTGTCCCTGCCTTCCTCACACAAGGATTAAAAATATGCTACCATGCTTAGCATTTTTGTTTGTTTTTGATTTCCGAGACAGGGTTTCTCTATATAACCACCCTAGAACTCACTCTGTAGACCAGGCTGACCTCGAACTAACAGAGATCCGCCTGCCTCTGCCTCCTGAGTGCTGGGATTAAGGTGTGAGCTACCACTGTCTGGCTCAATGCTTGGCATTTTTTACATGGGTTTTAGGAATCGAACTCCATGCTGCATGGCAAGAACTTTACAGACTGAACTGTCTCTCCAGCCTCAACTGCAATGTTCCTCTTGTCTTATTCTATCCTGGGGAAGGTGAGACATGCAGCTCTCCCAGAAATTGCTGTACAGTTCCAGTCATTCTGTGAGGCTGTCTCAGTGTGCTCATTTCATCGACATTTTCACTTGGGACTCATGAGGACATACGACCCACAGAGAAGCAGATGTTTTTCTTGACATGCCTGCCCAGGAAGGCCTGACTGATCAATATAACTCTGAGGAGGCATGATAACATAACAATGACAAGATTCCTAATATTCTTAGGGCCATAGCAGCTCCTATCCAGCAACAAGAGAGCCTCATAAAACCACTTCAGGCAGAGCCCAAGTTAGTTACAGCATGTATAAGGCATATGACCTATGGTCGACACCATTAGAGGGTGACCAACTTAGTACTGCAAAGCAAGAGAGGTAACAGTAGCAATATTAGATGGCTTCAAGCTTCCAGGTAGGTACCTCACAGCTACTAAGAGTCACCAGCCTGTGATAGTCAGAATCAAGCCAGTATCACTGAGGGGGTGGCTTACAAGGCACACATCTTGCCCCACAACAGGCACATTTAGGAAAAACGGGTAGACTTTGTTTTTTGATGCCCATGAAGTGACCTAATGCTATAGGATTGAGCTGATCCATTCTGAAATCCACTATGGATTTAGGCTCTTCAGGGCATGTCCTAAAATAAGAGGTGTCTATGGGCCACCTGATCTGCTCTGGCTTATAGGCTGTCTTCTAAGGTATGTTGGGAGTGGGCCTGGATTGACTCCTATGGTTCTTGTACGCTAGTGAGCAGGCTAGAATTCACACTGTAATATATTTCATATTTTGTTTGTTTGTATGGAACCCAGGGTCTCAAATATTCTAGGCAGGTAGTCTACCATTAAGCCACACCCCCAGCACCTCACTTGGGGATCCTAGGCAGGTGCTCTACCACTGAGCTACATCTCCCAGGTAACTTATTGGGCAATTTTAGGCATATGCTCTGACTCTGAGTCACATCCCGGGACCAGGTTCTTTAAAGTATGCATGTCCAACATGTAGCTTGACAGTTATCAATGTAGCCCAGTACAAAATCAAAATATTAATATTATGAGATTTCTGTTTTAAATTTCTTCTGTGAGCTTTGTATATAACAACTCTGTGTGGTAAGTAAAAAAACTTGAATATGGAGATTTTAGAGTTTTTGACTAGCTCAGCCTGCAGCCCCTTCCCTTACACTTTCAAGGCTTCAAACAGGAAATGACTGGATGACTGGTGACCCGGCAATGGGGACCTACCGAGGTTGTTGTCCGTCAGCACCTCTTTGACCCTCTTGGTTATGCCGTAGGTGTCCAGCTCGGGAGACATGGCTACTAATTCTTGGATGCTGAGGGCTGAGTGTCCAGAGAGAGGCAGCGGTGTTGTGGGTTGGGAGTCTGAGGCTGGTGGGTCGCTGGGTTCTGGCGGTTTGCCTTCTTTACTGGTCTCAATGGCAGGACAGGGCTGCTGGACCAGTTCAGTGAGACTCTTCACGGATTCGCTGGAACTCATTGGGGACTCAGGGGCAGGGCTACAGCTGGCAGAGGTCTTTGGAGTGCTTTCTAGAATTAAACACAACAAGAATGGCTGCTGAAAACAGTCATCTTTCACCACATAACTGACTTTACTTACTTAGGAAATGTTAATTAAATCCCCTGTTCCAGAAGGGTAACGTGTGGTAGTCCTCAGGACTGTCTGTTACTCCATAGTTCTTTCATTAAGTGTAACCTCTAATTTTCTGCATTAAAGGAATAAAAATAATAGAACAAAGGCAAAAAAAAAATCAACTAAACGTTCAAATAAAAGGTTTCTGAAGTCTTAATATCAGGGCATTTTGCTAAAAAAAATGTCATTATGACTGCTATGATTTGTTCTAATCAAACCCCATGATTCTGGTAATTCAGAGGGACTGAGGGTTGAGTTTAATATATGTGATTATTTCTTCTATATTTTCCAGAACAAAAATATATGGACAGGAGGTGGAGAGATAGCTCAGTAGGTGAAGTGCTTGCCTTGTAGGCATGGGGATGGATCTAAGCTCTATCCCTAGAACCCAAGTTAAAAAGACAGGCATGGTAGTGTATAGTTGTAATCCTAGCACTGGGAGGCAGAGACAGGCTGCCCTAGGGCTCACTGCTTATTCATCTTGCTGTACTCAGTGAGATTCAGGCTAGTGAGAGACACTTTCTCAAAAAACAAGGTGGATGGTGCCTATGGAATGAGAACCAAAATTGTCCTCTGGTTTCTACGTGAATATACAAGTGTGGACAGATCATTTTAGGTGAGGGTTGCCTATGAGGCTAGATGGTCATATGATTACAAAGACTCTTGAGGGCTGGAGAGATGGCTCAGCGGTTAAGAACACTGGCTGTTCTCCCAGAGGTCCTGAGTTTAATTCCCAGAAACCACATGGTGGCTCACAACCATCTTTAATGAGATCTGGTGCACTCTTCCTATATATATAGGCAGTACACTCTTGACCCAATGCCTCAGCTGTTGGTCTCTGTGGTGGTCCAAGGAGACTTAAGTCTTGGGATCAGATTGCTTTTCTATGAGACTATCAGAGGTGCTGAGGCTAGCGGAAGAAGGATACCAAAGAAAGGTGGCATGCCTGCTCTGCACCAACCTAGGGGCTTGGTGGTCCTATTTTTAGAAAACCGTGCTCTTTGATCATCTAGACCATACTGTACTGGCACCAGAAAGGTGTGGAGACCATCAGGCATTGCGTGTTTCTTGCTTTAGAACAGTCTGTGTCTTGTTGGGGGGTGGGTACTGATGGTGCCCAGTGGGAAGTGCTACACCTTCCTTCTGGCTGAGTGTGATGGTTAATATGGCCAGTGTGAGAGGATGAAGAATCACTGAAGGCCAGTCTCGGAGATGACTGTGAGAGCTATGCGGACAATTCCATTCCATGGGCTGGGCTCTAGGACTGAATAGAAAGGAGAAAGTGAGCTGAGCACCAGCATCCATCTCTCTGCTTCCTGACTACAGATGCAATGTGACGAACCGCCGAAGCTCTTACTGTCATGACTTCTCTGCAATGACAGGTAGTGTCCGTCCTCTCAATCCATGAGCTAGAAGCTTTCTGTCCTTAAGTGGCTTCTGTCAGGCATCTTGTCATAATAACAAGAAAATAAACACAGGAGCAACCCCCCTACCTCTCTTTAGTAGCATCACCTGTAAAATCTGGCATACTGCCTTGAGCTGGTTTGGGGGGTGTATTTAGAACTGAGACTGGTCATATCTTAATTTCCAAGGACACAGAGAACATCAAGAAGGAAATGAGAATGACTCTTATCCACAAGACCCAATCTGTCTTTGGCCTTATTCAGTGTTTGGCACACCTTTCCTCATTTCCACCGAGGCTGACATATCATAAGGCCATGTAGGAGGGGTCAGGCAAGGTGTCTGAGTGATGATAATTGTATTGAAATGTACTTTTTTTTCCTAAGAAGGTCTCTATTCAACATAAAGCTCTAATTTATAGCTAATCCTGCCAGTGGCTAATAGATGAGTGACTGGTGATGTTGGCCAGAGTCCAAAGGCAGAATATTCTGTGTCTTCTCTTGTTTGCAGCTCCTTCAAGCTGTGACAAGTCCCTCAATAGCATTATCAGCACAGCTTCAGGTAGCCAAAAATACTGTTGCCGCCTGGGTTAGGGGTGTGGTGTAGTGGCAAAGCACCTGCTGCTGAGCATGTTGAGTGCCTCGAATTACATTTATGGTTACGCCAAAAACCAAACCAGTACACAACCAAACAAAAAACAAAAAAGGAAACTGTTATCTGACTAAAACATAACAGCAAAGGCTTTATGTGCAGGTATACACGCCCATACAGAGACCAGAGGAGGAGGTCAGGTGTCCTGTTCTATTACCTCTTACCTTATTCCCTTGATACAAGGTTCTCACTGTACCTGGAGCTAGGCTGGAGGCCAGGAAGTCCTAGTGCGCATGGGGCTATGTTAGGCACGTAGTAACAGTTGGCTTTTTAAATGGGTGCTCGGGGTTTGAACTCAGGCCCTCACACTTATGCAGCAAATGCTTTTACTACTAAGCCATTTCCCCATAGAATTTTTTTCTATATATCTGGACTAACACCTCTCCTGTATTCAGGGAGTAGGATATACATTAAAAAACACAAATATCTTATGAATGACTAGAAAGAACAAAACTTGAAATGGAACCACAATTGAATCCAATAAGTCTGCGTAATGTCCTCAATTGGTACAAAGTCCCACTATCTCATAAAGTTGTGTGCTCAGCATGGAAAAAAAAAATCAGGTTAAGAAAACAACTGAACTGCTTGTGAGACATGTAAAAGAGATGAGTGTTGGGGCAGAAATGGCTTGAATCCATTTTTAAGGCAGTATGAATCCTGTAAATCAGATTTCTTCTCTCTACTCACCCTTGGGTCACCAGACAACAGGGTCTAAAACCTAGCAAATGCTGTTTGTATGTCAGAAGCAGCGAAGGAATTGCACTGTAAATTCACCCATGCGAGGGAGCCCATTGGGCAGATCATCTATCTTATTCACTGACTACTGTCAAGAATAGCAGGCGTCCCAAGCATGATAAAGAGATTTCTCCTAGGTTTGTGTCCTTTAACCCACAGCAAGGTCAAAATCCTGGCTGCCTGCAGCTAGTAGACAGCACAGGGCTGGTGGCTCTCTGGGAGGTAGGTCTTACCAAACAGCTCCAGTTGTCTGCTAGTCCTTCTCGAAGTTGTGTTCTCAATAGGCTATGCAAGGCCTGCAACACCTAACAGGTATGCACCTAGCATGTGTAGCGTTCCTTTGCGTTTTCCACTGGCCTTGAACTCACTACCTATCTGGGATTACAGGTATGACCTACCATGCCTGCTTTATTCAGTGCTGGGGATTGAATTGAGGGCTTCTTTGGCTCCATGGTGTTGCTGTGTCTTTGTGAGAGCTGGGGGCAAGAAGCTGGAAGGATGGAGATGCAGGCTCAAAAGCAACTTAGGAGACAGTGTGGGGGGTTCAAAGATGTGTGGTAGGAGGATCTGGATGAGGTCTGGAGTCCCCTGCATAGCAGGATGTGTAGCGAACCATTCAGACGGGGCATGCTGTTGCAGAGGTGCTGTGGGGCAAAGTGGGACACACGCTCTCCCCTCCCCCAGCTTAAGTGTGGTAGTGACCACCTATAGTCCCAGTACTAGGGAGGTTAACACAGGAGGATCTTGAATTTCAGGCCTTCAGGAGTTATGTAGCAAGAATCCATTAAAAAAAACCAAACCAAAACAAACCAAACCAAAACCCCTAAATGAAAATCAATCAAGGCAGGAAATGGCTCGGCTGGTACAGTGCCTACCATGAAAGTATGAAAACCTCACATCAATCCCTGAGACGGCATTTTTTGTTTGTTTTGTTTTTTTGAGACAGAGTTTCTCTGTAGCTTTGTAGCCTGTCCTGGAACTCTCTCTGTATAACAGGCTGGCCCCAAACTCATAGGGATCCATCTACCTCTGCCTCCCAAGTGCTGTGATTAAAGGTGTGTGCTACCACCACTGGTGAGATGACTTTTTTAGCAGGTAAGAGCACTTGCCATCAAGCTTGATGACCTGTGTTTGATCCCTGGGAGGGACCCAGAGAGGAAAAAACTGATATCTGAGGATTACTCTTTGATCACCTTATGCACAATATGACACACATGCACCTACACATATCAGTCACACAAAAATAAATAAATATAAAACAAATCAGGAAAGCAACCCTTCAAGTCTGACATAAACAAATAAACGAACACCAAGAACCTAAGTACAGTGGTAAGTACTTGTAATACCAGGCCTAGGGAGGTGGAGACAGCGGAGCCCTAGGGCTCCCAGGCCAGTGAGCCTAGTTGAGTAGGCAAGCTCCAGATCCAGTGAGAAACCCTGTCTCAAAAATTAGGGTGGAGAGAGACAGAGGAAGACTTGTCACTGACCTCTGGCCTTCACATGTACCATGTGCATGCAAACCCTATATAATCATGTACATGTGTGCACATGCACAAAAACAAAAAAAGGAAACCCTACTTTGTGATCATGTGTCACACCAGCCACCATGGAAGTGACACTGACTAGGCTTACTGTGCACAGGTGCCAGGGTGACACTTATGGAAAGGAATTCATGCACTCAATCCTCATGACCATCTTTCAATGCACAGCAGAGGTGACCTGGACACACTCAGATGTCTCATCCTACAAAGCCACCTGCACAGTTGCTCAGTGTTCACCCTGTGCTGCCTGACTGCTCGAGGCCTGTTTTCTGGGCAATGATTCTACAACACGTGTGTGAGCAGCAGAGATCTCAAACATGGTGATGAGTCACTAGAAGTCAGTGGCAAGGGTCAGGGAAGGGGCTCAAGGCACTTTTTTTTTTTTTTTTTAAATAAACCTCAGATGCACGAAGCTGTGTGCTGGAGACCTGGGCCGATGTCTTGCTCCAGTCTCCTAATAACCCTGGTTGGACACATGCCCACAATGCAGGCTGGAGAACTGGCTGGCTCTATCTGGTCGGATATCCTTGGATAGAGCAAGGATGGGAGTCAGAGCAGAATGGAAAACT